GGTGCAGACACGAGCTGCACTGGACCTGATCTGTCTCTTTGTTTGTGGTCCCCTGCAGATCAGTCGCATCGAGTACATCCACTCAAAGAACTTCATTCACAGAGACGTGAAGCCGGACAACTTCCTGATGGGACTGGGCAAAAAGGGCAACTTGGTGTACATTATTGACTTTGGTCTGGCTAAAAAGTACCGAGACGCTCGCACGCACCAGCACATCCCATACCGCGAGAACAAGAACCTGACTGGCACTGCCCGCTACGCCTCAATCAACACTCATCTTGGGATCGGTAACGAGCCTGTTTGTCGTCCGCTACGCACTCCTGCTCCTCCTTATCCCGCCTGAGATACTCTGTAGTGAAACCCGTCTCCTCTTCATCGTCTTTATTTCCGCTCGTTGTCTCCACAGAGCAGTCGAGGCGCGATGACCTTGAGTCGTTGGGATACGTCCTCATGTATTTCAATCTGGGCTCGCTGCCGTGGCAGGGGCTGAAGGCCGCTACCAAGAGGCAGAAGTACGAACGCATCAGTGAGAAGAAGATGTCCACGCCCATCGAGGTGCTGTGCAAAGGCTACCCCTGTGAGTTTGCAGTCTTCAGAGCTTTCCTTGATTTGAAGCCGTGTGATCCCAGCTGCACGTCGGCTCAAACATGTCTGTTTCCACTCTGTCACAGCCGAGTTCGCCACCTATCTGAACTTCTGTCGCTCCCTGCGCTTCGACGACAAGCCCGATTATTCGTACTTACGGCAGCTCTTCAGAAACCTGTTCCACAGACAGGGCTTCTCCTACGACTACGTGTTCGACTGGAACATGCTGAAGTTTGTGAGTATCAGCTGTCAGAGAAGCAGGACAACATTAAACAGGCGTGACTCCATCCTGTGGTCTGAGATGTTGGAGCTGCGATATCGTTTTTTTCTTTAGTGCCGAAACACAACAAGGATGACCTCGAGGCCGTTTTTACTGTGAGGGCAACACTGAAAGTAGCTGAAATCTTTATTAGTTAACGTTAAAGAAACAGACGTCAGCCTGAAGCAAACAGTCTCCTGACACAGCAGGTCGTCTGCTGCACGCGAGCGCTCTGCTGCGTCTGTTTACACAGGACGGCGACATGTTTAGTGACCTGCTAGGATGCATCACACACGGGGACCAGACTGACAAACAGGGCTCGTCTCCTCCTCGTTTGTTAGCTGCTGGTTTGTTATTGTGTGTTAAACATTTAGAAATGATCTGCGATGGTTGTTTGAGTCCTGCTGACAGCTGCCGGGTGCAGCTCAGTGAGGTGTAACAGGTCAGCATCCACCTGTCACTCAAAGCAGCCACGCCTCTAATTATGGCCGACTGTTCACATGTAAAGAGGTATTAAAACTGTGCATAGACATGAACACAGGGTTAAAGAGCAGCTCTGCAGTTTGTAACAGGGCTGTGAGTTTGGATCATGTCATAGTTTTAGTCGATACTTCAGGTTCAGATGTCTCGGCGTGGACTGTGAGGGTCGTTACTTTGCTTTAGACCAGAGCTGGTGGAAGTCCCGCCCTGTCAGTCGTCCATGTTGGCGACAAACCAGGACGGCGAGCCTGTCACATTAGTAAGATGAGTGTGTGGAGGCTGGTTCGTGGTCCTGTGATGGCGTCTTTGTAACAGAGAGCTCCTGCACGAGCGCACGCATTAGTGCAGAAAGTACAGAAGCCTGCTGAGCATAAACTGATCTGTGCCGGGCCAAAGTGCGCGCGATGGTCACAGTGCAGGGTTAGCGTGCGTGCAGAGGCTAATAAACCCGCAGAGTCTCAGTCGGGTCCATAATCTGATCTTCTGTGACCTGCTGAAGGGAGCCAACCGTGCAGCAGAGGAAGCAGAAAGGGAGCGTCGGGATCGGGACGACCGGTTGAGGCACAGCAGGAACCCCGGGGCCAGAGTCCCTGCTGCGCCCGGGCGCCCCCGAGGGACCCAGGAGGGAACAGTGCCCACCCCGCTAACACCCACCTCACAGACAGGTCAGTTCACTCCAGCTGCGTTAGCATCGTTAGATCACATGTAAGCGTCCCAAATACGCAAAGACTGTAGGAAACAACCTCGGCAGAGGACGGCGTTCTCCTCCACACGCACCACAAGGAGATCGTTGGTACGTGTGTCTGTGCACTTTCATATTTCTGTGTTCCAGATGCTCTGTGTTGGTTTTTCTTACAGGTGCAGCGTTGTGCATTTCTGTTTGTACTCCATCCTTTTATTAGATTTTGTTCTATTTTCTCCGTCCTTTTGTTCCTTTCTCCTGCCTGTCAGCTTAGACGCTGTCAGCTGAAATAACACCAAAGAATAAACAAAAAAACACGATGTAGAACTTATAGAGCTGATCCTGGTGCACTCAGATCATAACTCTGTAGGAATCTGGTGTCCAGACGTGTTTATATGCAGTGCGCATGTTCTGTAGACGAAGAGGAGCTGCTGTAGTGTTGCTGTGGCTTCAGTGACCTCAGCGTATCAGCTGATGATCTGTCAGCTGTTGTGTAGCTGGCTCCTTGATGGAGGTGATGGTGCTCTCACTTCGTTTGTCTTTTCTTTAACGGTTCAGGTGATGTTACTGTGACACGGTGCAAGCGTGTACAGGTTAACATGAACTCTTTGCAGTCAGTCTTTGAAACATGGACTCAGTCATCTCACAGTACGATGTGTTTCTGGTCTCCAGCTAACACGTCTCCTCGACAAGTGTCCGGGATGGAGCGTGAGCGAAAGGTTAGCATGAGGCTGCACCGCGGCGCTCCGATCAACGTGTCATCCTCCGATCTGACCGGGCGACAGGACACCTCCCGCATGTCCACCTCACAGGTACAACACTCCCTCTGCTCCTAGTCTGTGTGACCCAACAGCATGAGACTCACTGAATATGTCATGTGACCTGAGCACGCAGGAACGCCCGACGACAAAGCTGGGCTTGTTTGGGTTTTCAGCAGGATTATAGCAGTATTACAGCAGTAGTGCAGCAGTATTGTAGCAGTATTACAGCAGTAGTGCAGCAGTATTACAGCAGTA